TTTTTATTTTTTTGTTTAATGCTTATTTATTTTTTATTATATAATATGTTTTCAACAATATATAGGTGCGTTTGGATACTCGTCATGATCTAAGATATAACTTATCAACTTATTATCTTCATTAGAAAGTTATCAACAACTGTTTTTAGTGAATTATTTWACATTTCCCCCTCCCTACCACCAGAGACCAGAACAAAAAATTTTTTTTTTAATTGATCCATATTGCTGTTTCAATAATTGAATTTTTTGGTCAACAAAAAAAAAAAACAAAAAAAACACCAGTTCTGTGGTATCACATACGACATACGACAAAAATATTAACTATTATAAAAAACTTTAAAGCTATGATTTCAGTTTTAGTTATTAAATGTTAAATTGTTAATTATAAAATGTATCATTATAATGTGCAACAGCTATGGGGGTACTTCAGTCTCCGTCTTCATTATTTTTSAATTGTATTGATAATGTCAGTGTTCAGAATTATATTGCTGCGTATATCCGATATTATTATTTAGTTATCGCATATTCATTGCATTAATATTTAATACAATATGTAAAGTGTACAYATGTTGTCGACAAATGTAATAGATACCTAMACAATGCCTATAAAAATGTATTCGAGYCTGAAAATAATGACAAAAATATTACAACTTTTATATCTAACGATTTAACGATACAAGGCAAATGATTTTCTGCGGCTATTTGAATTAAAATAACAAATAAAGACCGAGAAAGTAGGTACTATATATAGTGGACTTCAAAATAACATGTTATCTTAGGGTTATTATCAGTGCAACGGATATAAGTAGGTATAYGTAATATAATATTATATATTATATATTTTAATGTAGGTACTACGCTTTACCTACTGTATACATACTTTTAGCAAATAGTTTCAAGGACTATGCGCAATAACATGGATAGGTTCCTAAACGCCGATTACACATATCCRATCGCATTCGATTTAAAGCATTTATTAAATGCACAAGTCATAATTGGCGGACAAAATGCAATGTAAGTATATAACAATATTATCGTTATTGATTTACTTACGGTTCAAACGGATAAACGTGTGCTCGGTGGTAGCTGGAGGTGGCAAATTTCCATTTACAGCAATTGCCGAAGGACGGGACACTGAATTTAAAATGCTGTTGCTTGCCTGACATGTCAAACGCGCCGTGCCCAAAGTTTGTTGCCGTTGGCTCATTATCGGGTGCCACCTGGTTAAGTTAGTCAACACCAAACGGTTAACGGTCAYACCGGTGGCGGCGGTAATACTGTTGTTCGGTTTTTTTCGGTAACCCCGACTGGGGTTGTCTTCAATTAGTTGATACGGAGAGTGCAATACTGCATTTTCATGGTACCACGTCAGTCGAGGACGAGGCCACCCTGCAAAATAAAAAATAAAAGTGCAATTTATTAATACACTATTGTTTTACATACATTGAATTAGGTATTTCGTAAGATAATTAAATAAAATTCCACTTGGCTATAATAATTTTTCTTCGGTTGTAAAAAAAAAAAAAACAACCGAAAATATGCATTCCCCTACATTGTACTCTGAAATAATGGCAGACATGAAATTATGAGTGTATATAAACAATAAATATCATGAAACGTGTACBTACACTATTACACTGTAGATATTTTCAAATGCTATAAAACTTCATGATACCTACGTTTAAAAACCGAATTTTACACATAGGTATCTATTATTATTGAAAATATTAAAAACAAATAATATTTTTAGCTTATATACTATATTTATGTGTTCAAGAACAAAAGTTCTTTGGAATTGAAAACTTTAATATTAAAATATTAAAATATTGTGTTATAAAAGAATAGATAAACTTTCAAAAAAGTAAATAATTGTATTCAGTTTATATTACCTATATTAAATAATAAATATATACATTAAGAGTTTACATCGTGGTCGACACTTTCCTTAATATACTTATTTTTTAAAATACAAACAAGTTTAAACTTACATAGGTACCTGAGGAATAACAAGATTATCTTATTGTAATAAATTTCAACGATGCTCATCAGTGCAACTATGTGAATGTGAGTATATTATTATAACCTTCTCCAAAAAAAAAGCTCCAGTTTTGAATGAAATTTTTGAAAGGAAAACAATTGTATTGATTATTTCATACAAATAGGCTATGAGCATATTTCTTATTTTAAAACCAATGCAATACAGGGAATTATTTAGGATATAATAATTGTTTTAAGTGTTTAAACATTTTTTATTTTAGTGAGAATACTTACCTATATAAAACAAACATATTTTAGGTACTTAATTTTAAATTTAATGATATATTATTYAGTTAAGTTAACCTTATACAAATCAATTTAGTCTTTTTAGTTTATAAACATTTATTTTTAATTATCTAAAAAAAAAACAATAAAAGTTTTTTCTGAACATAGATAAGTACTTATACTATATACCTAGTATATATAACGTATTATAGGTAGGTAATAAATGTTTTTGATCTTCATAAAATATTACATGATATAATATTTTTAACTTAACAATACCTTAAACGTCGATATCAAAGGATGTTGCAATTGGTTATTGTTTTATATTTTAAAGGCATTATAAATACATTTCATGTAATAAAAATAAAATAAACTAAGTAATGTTTTAGGTGTAGACAAAACGAAAAAACTAACCAGATAATTCGGAYAAATTGAAAAAAAAAGTTTGTACAAATTATAATTACGAATAAGTAAGCAATTAATTATATAACAAGTAATTTGAAAATGTATCATTATTTAAAATGTAGGATTTTGTTATAACTATAAAAGTAGGTAATAACTTTATTAGTAAGCTACAACATATAGTAGTGAAACAAAACTAATCGCATATAATATGCAACTAAGGGTAAAMAATTTTGTACAAAGGTTTATTTGTTTAATAAATAATTTAAATATTACTATTACATACAAAATAAAATTATAAATTATGAATAATAAAATAATTACTAGGTAAATATACCTAGTTCATACATTTTATTTCTATAACTTTGAAATAAGGTTTCCTAAAGTTTAACTGTACAACACGCTAACAGTTTATTTCAATATATTGTATACAATGTTAACTCRATTTGAACTAAATGTAGTTATAATATTATTAACGTTATGATACTTTAATCTTGCCCGTCATTTTACGCAACATATTTATTATTTCACTTCTAAAATAATGCGTGGTTACATTATAAGTCAAAATACATATTAGTTGCAGCTGTAAAATCCACTGTTGACGCATGAAAATTATTTTTATCAAAAATACAGAAAATGAAATAATAATAGGCAAAAGTGAATACTCGAAATAAAATGTATTATTATGTATGTACTCTGTTCATATTCATATTATTGTACATCTAAATAATTTATCAGCAATAAACAACATAATTATTTTAAKTTGTGACGATGTTTAATGTTTTTTATATATTTTATGATGCCAAAATGTTGTCTATAATTTTATTATCTGTGTGACATTACTTTTCGCAGTAATAAACAACCAAATTCAACATTTTCCAAACACTGCCACGTCGTATATAATATGGGTTAAATACCAGGGCATACGTGTAATCTACGCCATTCATTCAGATAAATTCCCAAACTAAGAGTTATCTACTGTGTTGTTTTTGGTCAATAAATGCACCTACCTAGCTATAGAACCACGAACCTTTTACAACCATGAAAAGGCGTCGCGTAATCTTCGCAAGTAGTATTTCTAATACCTGACCAGCTTCTATTTCAATAATACGAAACTTGTTGAATATTAATTAAGAATAAATTCCCAACATAATTAATGAATATATATACATAAAGCCACTAGTTCTCATAGGTGAGACGGAGTCCCGAAGAACGTTGTCGCATCACGTACCATTATTATATAGATATTAATGTATAGGTAGACAGGTAGGTAGTGATATTATTTCAAGACCTGAGCGCAACAAAAAAAATAAAAGTAGGAATGACAGTCGCGAGTCGGATATTGGAAGGTTAATACTATAAAAACACAATCTAGATAGAATATATTATTACAGACATCCTTAGAAAACTGAGACAAAAATATTGTGWTGGCTTTCATAAAAAAAGTCAAGTCTTTCTACGGATTAAGCAGTTAAGCTATCAAAAACAAGTGCGATGATCCAACAATATCAAAATCAAACTATAAGTAGGTATACGATTATAATATTATAGAAACGTATTATTATGTCACAATAATAAAGAATACATTATTGGATTAGGCAATGAATGACTGAAAACTATCTGATTAAAATAATCAATATCATCAATATTACATTATTATTATGTTATATTGTATAATATTACTTCATTGCTTTTAGGATTACGACGTATAACAACMMCCTATCAATGAATACATTTATAATATGTAGGCACTAGCATCATATTTTAAACATTACAAGAAACTGATGAAATCATTAGATTTTTGGATGTTTTTTCAGTTGTAATTTATTAATAGTAAGACTGAGAATTGAAGGCGCTATAAATAATATAGCTATACGTTAAAAAATGAAACTTAATTCTCTAAAAAATGCAGTAAATATATGATGAGAAGGTTACATGTTATAATATGCTAAAAAATTAACTTTAGATACTATTAGAGGTTCACATTCCTGATATTATTATTAATCGACGACGTTTAAAGCATATTAAGTATGAACATTTACAACCTATGTGTGTTAATCAACATTTTATACAAACGAGTGTAAAAATTTAAATCTGTGGAAATTGATGAAAAATAATATATATAATAAAATTAAATGAATAGGAAAATTTTCATGAAAAAGCAACGATGACTTCGACAATCGAAAATGTCAAAAAAATCTAAGACATATTTTAAAATTTTAATAAAAAAACTGTTAAGAAATTTAAGCTTAAAACAAAATAAATTTTTATTTACAAATGTATATTGTATAACCCTAATTATTAGTGCTTTTGTTCAGGCATTTTCTAAAAAGAATTTTGTAGGAAACTCATTATAATATGTGACACTTTTTAAAATGCGTGAAAAACAAATAAACTTTAGTCGAGGACACGTGTGTCCGAAACTCCGAATTTGTACTGTTTATATGTGCATAAAAAAAAAAAAAAAATCACAAATGCATATTTTATTTACAGAACGTGATGATTTTCACGAAACGCCGTCGGCACTATGTAATAACTAAATTCCAACTATTTTCCGTAAAAATAAATAATTAAACAAGTAAATGAACATTGCTGAATAAAAATTGAATATAAATCTATTTACATAATATATTTAAAACATTAGCACATAAATAAAAAAAAGCACGTAAACACGTGAACACTGTGGACGGGACAATAAAATGTAAGCATCTGAGTACTATGTAGTAAAATATTGCCGTTATTGACAATATAGATTATAAAATAATATTATAGTTGGCATGTACACAACCAAAACTGATATATTATATTGTSCACGTACACATGATGTAATCATTGTGGCGGTCATAACGCGAACGTCGATTAACTATTAAAATTACCATCGTAAAATAGTCGTCCGTAAAGGTAAAGTGTAAAGACATTATTATTGTAAATTCGAGATTATTGGATTGGGTTATTGTATATTGGTGGTAATATTATTTACTCCATATGTCACGGAAATAGGCAAACAACCATGGTGTACTTTATAACGTTGTTATATCGAGTTTAAAACGGTTTGCAGTCGGTAACTGAGAAGTCAGTGAATCGAATCAATCCTAAATATATTTATTCAAGCATTTAAAAACTCCAAAAATATAATAAAAGGGAGGAATAACCGTAATTATGGTCAATAAATTAACCAAAATAATGATATTGATTTGAACATTTTTAAAAGTAATTTGTRACTCTTTGTGATTGATTTTCTAAATATCATTTTTCGTCCAGAATAGATCAGATAAAGTGGTTTGAGATAAGGGACTCAATAGGCTGGGTAAGATGGATTTTAATTTTAAAAACAGAATTTTATACTTTTATCGCATTCATAACGTTACTATATGTTCTTGACCGATGCGATGTAACTTTTAATAATATATATTGTTCTACAAAAATATCAATAAACGCTTGTAATATTTTCTTTTTTGTATTATGAATAACAATGAAAATAGTTTTTGGAATATTAAAACCAATTTGACTTTAATACAGTGAATTATTGTTTTTGTATCGAAATCTGTTTTAAAAATCAAATTTAATCAAAGTTTGTATGCCTTTAGGTCTTGCATTTTGGTCTAAGTTTATCAATATTCTTTAAGGAACATCAAAAACCCCGAAGCGTATTTTTCAATAAATGTGAAATTCAAAATTCTTTGCAAAACATTGATGTAAGCAATTTAATAAAAATAAACTGCATATTTTATACAACAATTTCGCAGCATTTTACACAGTATTTTAAATTTTAATTATAGTTGTTTACATCTTAATACGTTAAAATAAATATTCTTGTTTTTTTGATCATCTAATATGCCTGTACTATTATTTATTATTTTAGGTCATTAATGACTATTCAAATTAATTATTTCAAAGTAGAACTTGCCGCAAAATATTTCATTTTTTATATGACGCGCAAGTCGTCATAGTTATTGTGTGTGTAAACACATAAATATAAATATATTTTCTTTTGTTCCAAAAGATTTAATAAAAATATAATTTTAAACATGTCATCATGAATAATGAATAGGTACGACAAGTTAAATACATTTTTATTAAACAAAAAATATTTAGCTCTACGTAGGTAGGAATAATGTTTATAACATGGATATTATAGGAAATAAAATATTTAAATTTATAAACATGTATATTTAGTACTTAAAATACGAATGTAAGGTGGTTCATATATTACAATTCTACCATGTAAAAGTTGAAGCCATATTTAAAAGACAATATTGAAACTATTGTATTCATACATTTTGCGGTATTTAATTAGTTTAAAAACCAGAACACAGTGTCTTTCCAATTCTATTAGTCCATGCTCAATTACCTCACTTCAATGTAGTTTAAATTTTAAACAAGATCTATTGCATTTTCTTATGTTATTTATCTCATCGATGTAACGTATACTATACTTAAGATGAGTATTTATTTTAAGATTCACATATTATGAAGTGTCACTAGTCACTACTGGGAGGCTTCTTCCAACAACTCCTTCGTGTCATTATAAATTAGCCCATATTCTTATTGTGCCTCAGGGTATAGATTGTATATTTCATATAAAAGATTATAATAAAAAAAAAAATCACATACATTATGTATATTTAAAATATTATCATCTAAAATATTGTATTATTAACAATAATTAATCGAAATATTACAATTGTTTACTGTTTTAACTAGGTATTGTGTTGATTTATTTACCGTATGATACTATGATAGTCAAGACTTATGAATAATCAATGCTTTAATATAATATATTAATTGGGTCCAGCCTTAAACCAGTCTCCTTACCCTCTTTATATACGTATATATATATATTGACATATTGTGTATAGTATATACATGTGTATTGTGTATTTATAGTCAACAGCCGCAAATTAACCCCTTCGACGTCACCGGCATAGTCAACACTCGACAGAACCTCAGTAACAGTCATAAAATAAATTATCTTAATTTATTCATCTGATTCTTAATTTCGTTTTGAATTTGTAATTAATTTAAACGGGGATACAACAAATACTGGAATGAATACCTACACCCCACGATGTCAATATAAATTCCAATCTGCTGTGTACAAAAGTACAAAACCGTAATAAATCATCTATAGTAACCCCGTTACTGTACGAATATGAACGCATAGGTAAGTATATAAAACACAGTTAACCTTTAATTTGTGTATATTATTTAGCGAAGACCAAGAAAAAAATTCGTGATGACGGAATCAACGATTCTAAAATGACTGAAGGAAAATTTAGTTTGTGTGACGTTAGCTGTACATATAATGGAAATTTGCTCAAAGAAGCGATCTGATGAAGTACCTGTGGATGAACAAGCCACCGATTATCGCAGATTTGTCGAAAAACGTCACGATACCGTCTGTCAGGTGAAAAATGGCGACAAGAATCATAACACCCATGTAGGTACTGTTGTTTATATATCTGACATTATAACACTTTATTATGTTAGATAATACTTGGTTTGATACTTGAGAGTAATTATTGTTGCATCAAAAATATTTTCAAGTTAATAGTGTTTGGAGGTGCATGCTTCTGGCATATTCATAACATCCACATAGTATACCTACTCTCACTATTATATAGGTAATATTATCATATTATCATATTATGTAGGTATGTTAAATCTTAATATGCGGTGGCGCCCAGACAGGTTAGCAAATATTGTAATTGCATGTACTCTTGTGAGAGGTGGGTGAAAATTACTGAAAGCATAGAGAAGTTTTAAATGTATATAATAGCATAAACTATTGTCTATAATAATTAATTTTCGCAAACTGCAGTAATCAACAAGCGAGTATAATAGTGTAAATTGAGTATAACTGTGAAGTGCAGCAAGAATTTTTTTTTTTAATACAAAAAAAAAATGGTTGGATGGATGGGTAACATTTTTAAATGTGCTCTCCAAAATGCACACCACAGTTAATGTTTTTTCATTATTATAAACTAGAAATTAAAATAATTATAAAAATCAAATTGTTCAGATTATACTTAAATATGATTCTAAAATATTATCATATTACTTATCTTTTTCTAATTTAATTACCATTTCAATATCTCATACATAATATCAACTGTCACGTAGAATTTCAAAAATATCGTACGTATTAATTTCATATACATTATATGCCATATGGTATAGTCTGTAAATTAATTTATATTTGCATTGTGATTTTTAATCCACAAACTTGTTCAGTATAGCCCACATGACCTCGAGAATATTTGGGTAAATATTTAACAATTTTTCAAACACTATAAGTTTTACATAAATAGCTTTGGACAAAATAAGACTATTTACCTCCAACCACGCGGCACACCAATGTAACAGTTGGACTGCCCTCATCGACAACAATCACGTTTCCGGGATTATGTTGGTAATTTTCTGGACGATCCCTTCCAATAGAATTTCCATACTCGACATAAATGATTGGTCGATCGGGAGCGACTGTAACACATAATACATAATTAAATATGTATATGTTCGTAATTGCTATTTGTTTTTATTGAAATCAATACAAAAATATTATTTCATACAGTGTTTCAATAAATACTCATCATTTGGCAACTTTCAAAAGCTTTATGGGTTTTACAGTTTTTAATAGAAAATACTCATTATTAAAATACTTAAATAAAGTTTTTACTGCACTTGCTTGGAATTTAAAACAAACAAATTTAATAATTTACTTAAAATTGCATTTTTAGTTAAAAGAGATACTCAATACGTCCATTAGACATTTTTGTATTTTAAAGGGAGATCTATTTGCGTACCACGTGAAATGAGATACGTATAGATATCGTACAGATGTTATTTTTAAATTTGTTTTATAAATAGGTCTTGTAATATTATTAACTGTGATCAGTGATTAATTTCAGATATTCAGATATAATCTCCCTTAAGCTTAAAAACCATTAGTAATAGTAGATTTGATGTAACACAATCATTCAACAGAAACTTATTGGACTAAAGTAATAATAAATGAGCCTCCCGTTACTCACATGTAATCAACCAAAGTCTGTCAATACCTGTTTGATTTTGATTAATTATAATTTATTAGTGCACCAGCCAATTACCTATAGTATAGTAATGTACATTCTGTACAAACTTAATATTATTATCTTTAGGTGTTGTATGAAGCACTAACTTTCATGTTTTGTTTAAAACTATGATTTATGAATGATTTGTATTTAAAAATTCAGTAATTAGCGCGTTTAATGACTTGTAAGCTTGTAAAGTATCTGGCCGAGACTTCAACTCCCACCCTAAACCCAAGTATGCCAATGACAGATGTTTCCTTTAAAGTTTTGCAACAAACGATACGATATAGGTAACATGAAGAGCGTTGGTCCTTAAAAGTTATTATTTTCGTCTAACATAAGTTTACATAAAACAGATCATTACTTTCTTATATTCAGGCTAATTTTTAAATTAGAGAATACTACAATCAAATATGAGTAGAACTGTTTAATTTGCAAGAAAAAATCGGCATTTATATAAAATTTTAGTTCATAATAATTTTAGGTTCTAAGTTTAGATAATAAACTATATAGGTAACTGTTTTAAAATGATGATTTGTTTTTGTTTGCAAACAGTTTATCAGGAAGAAGTCTTCTAAAAGTTTCTCTCTATAATGACTCTATCGATTGAAAATTGGCCACAGATTGTACTTAAAAAGGTATTTTGGAGATTCTTTAGTAGTTTTCAAGTTAAAATTATTAAACAACAATCAAGTAACTGAAAAAAAATTGTAATATAACTTGCAACAATACCTTATTATTTATAGATACCTGTTTTGGTTATTTTYTTATAAACTAACTGATAATAAAGCTTTTAGATAATATTTATCAATTGTATAACTGAATGGATTCATTTTAATTAATTTCATGGAGTTAGAAATCATTATTTTAAAATCACCTAACTTTTTTGAAATACATTTAAAGGCTGTAACTATAAATTTTAGATTTAAATTCAAATGCGATCCAAACTATAAGGTTATCTATGGTATGAAGGTCAGTGTAATAGACCAGTAAAATTGTCATATGTGTCCACATTTCTTTTAAAAATGTTTCCTATTAGCTTAGCGTAAACGAGTTCTAGAAATTGCATTTAAATCGTACTTTCATTTTTATCCATATGTATACAAAAACTTACGTTATTATTAGAGTATTTTTATTTTATTTTTGGGAGTTTGAGAACAGACATAGCTGAATTATAAAACATTAATTTAATTAAATAAAAATACTAATTGTGTGTTTCTTTCTWTAAATCTCTTTAAATTACCTATGACTGTTAAGTTAACTAATCTGTGCCTGGTAGGAGCTTTTAAGAAATCAATTCTGCATCTATAAATTCCAGTATCGGTGGCCATAGCTCTATCCACAGTAAGATGATCTACTATATCTTGATCACGATGTAGTTTTTCACCGTTGTCTGAGTGAAAGTATGCACGATCACCAAAACCCATTGGTGAAGACCACCATCTCGGTGGATTCGGAATTTTTGCAGATGTCCGTCTTGTATCATACCTGTAAGGAAAAGTAAAAAGATAAATATTTTAAAAACATAGCTACCAAATAGTTATTACATTAAAATACAAGTTTAATAACACTGTTTCCTATAAAAGCAATAAAATAAACTAAATGTTCACGTCACAATTAAATAAATGAATATTTTAGTCGGTTATTACCTATTATATGATTAATGAATAATAAATTGATAGTACGATAGTTAATAAGAAAGACATAAATACTTAAATATAAAAATCTGATTTTTTTCTTTAATACCAGAAACAACAATTATGCTTCAACAAGGTATAGTTTATAGACATTTAATCGTTTTCTATAATATAATATAACAGTTATAATGCTACTTCAAAWWGTGAAATATAAAAGATATAATACTTAAATCGATAGGAATGTTAAAAACCAATTTAGTCAAACGAATAACGATCGTGCATTTTACACAATTTATAATTTCATTTGCATAATACAACGTTTGGTTTAGGTATTTACGTCTATTAAGGGAACGCCACACCTGCAGCTCGAATGAGTTTTCTTACAACCAATGTATAACATAACACTTTTGTGTTTTGCAGAAACAAGCCATGCAGCATTAATATTAGAGTGAATCAACCTATTATAAAAATTAAAGGTAAAATTATTATCTTTGTTTTTACGATGTTTCAATTTTTGAGCGAGTTATGAATTAAACTATAAAATGCACATAGCTTTCTAAAAAATTGAAATATCGTAAAAAACCAATGTGCAAACACAGATGCTTTTACCTTAAAATTTTATAATTGGTATATCATTGGTTATTGGTCTAACAAAGCAAAATTAATTCTTTAAAATTTTCTATGCATTATATCTACGTTCGTAAAGCAGTGGTAACGCATCCTCATAATTATTTGTTGAATTATTTGTTTTTTATAATTTTTTTAAATTTAAATTATAGAGAAAAAACTATTTTTGCACAATACCCTCCATAGATGTGATCTAAATATTTACTAGCTGTAGGATTTCAATAATTCACTTTCTTATTGTTTTGATTAAAAACTTAATTAAAAGTATTAAGTTTGTTTGTTAATCGAATACCTCTATGAAAATAAAAATGGGATTACAATTATGAGTGAAAATATTGATATATATTTTTATCTTATTTTGTAACTAGGTATTTCTTACTAAGAATTCAACAACATAAAAGTAATTTTAATTTTCTATATTCAAATGTACCTACTATATTTATAGTTACTATAATATTATGAATTGACAATAATAATTTTAAAATATTCACTGCTTATACTTAAGTCCGACTTTTGTGTGTATATTACGTACAACCATTTTAAGTTAAACATAAAGTGTATTTACATATMTAAGAACATAATAGAAATATATAATATGTGCTTTCTGCTTATTCATATAAAAATTTGGTAGATATAAGTACTGTACAGTACAGTCTATAGACTTAAGTGTATGTATAAACATTATGATTACCATTATCCACATATTAAAATACTCCAGAGTTTAATATCTGTAAAAGTTTATATTATAATTTATATATCTTAATGTCTAGGAAACATATACATTAAAATTTAAGTATACTATTTACAAATAATTTAAAAGTGTATAATTTATATCTTGTAACAGTACACCATCGTACACATAAAACGGTCCTTTTCAGGACCACCAATCACGTCCCAGCATAACAGCACTACCGGGTAGAATAACTTTGCGCCCTCATTACAGAGCCACAAAGCTATTCCACTCTCTGAACAACAAGGGCTACAAAGGGGGGACTGAGACGCGTCAAACAAAACCATTCTCCATACCTATAGCCCCAAAACTGTGCAGACAACACCACTTCCCGCACAAAACATAAACACAACAGCAACGGCGGCAAACGTTTACGATTACGGCACAGATGCGGTGGGCACAGTTGCGGTCAAAACCTTTTTGGTGGCACTTGCGGTCACTACTTTTTTTACATATTTGAACTGGTTTTTACAATACTGATATAATAATAATAAAGTTAAACTTAAACTATATTAAATTTTCTTCGCACTTTTACAAGCTTAGGACTGGCAATGAATATTATTTAATATTTACTGGCGTGCTTAAAAGTTGTTTTTTTTATATACATAATATATGTATTTATTGTAAACTATTCTGATATAAATATAAAATATATAATTATTAGAAATGTCAGTTAATTGTTTGGGTCTACCCATTTACATGGATTAACCAATAAACCTAACCATCTTCAAACTTCCACCCACTAGTATAGTTAACGGCATAGCCATCCCCCCAAAGCAAAGCACCGACATCAGTCTTCTTTCAACATTCAAACCTTCAACAACTCAAACACTAGAAAGAACGAAGACCAGAAGACCTAAGGATTTAGACGATCCACGAAGCCGCTACAGATCACCGAAAAACCAGCAGAATAACTTGAACGACGAACACCGGCCGCAATTCAACACAGGTCCGGATCGCTCAAGACCGCCGCCACATAGCCACCAATCATCGACTACCACGCACAACCGGCATCAAGAGCCCCGCTGTAACGCGCCATCAAAGTAGAGGACGTTTCAATACGCTCAGAGCACCAGAGTCACAGGTAAACGACAAAAGCAATCATAAATAGATTCACTGAAGACTACATACCAGAAGTCAGAAAACCAGACGCTATCCTTTCTGACAACGGATCACAGTTCACGCCAAAGGTATGGACAACTAAACTAGGTAATAGAATTAAACATAAAAACAGTCTACTCCACAAAATATCACTGCAGTCTAGCCCAGTGGTGAGCTATAACAGAGAAATCGGCAGATTACTCCAAACCTATTGCTACGACCAGCACCCAAATGGCCCAACTATTTGGAAAAAAATGAATACTGGATGAATAGAATGAGGTCAGAAATAACAGAAGCTACCCCACTGGAAATACTACAGGGAAAAAAGCCAGAAAACGTAATTGAAAAATGGATAATTTTTCCCCCACAACCTAAAGACCAAGATAGAAAAGAAATTTTATGCACAAACGCAGACAGAATTAAGACAAAAGTTAGCAAACGTAAAACAAACAAAAACAAAAACAAGAAATTTATTAAATATTAGGTTGGCCAAAAGGTACTAACCAGAAATCATCACCTATCAAATATACACAATAATGAAATAAAAACATTATTCAACTTATTTGAAGGACCGTTCACAATCCACAAAGTGATAAGTGACACAACGCTGGCCATTATCAACCATAAAACCAATTAAGAAGAGCTARTTAATTTCGCTGAAGTCCGTCCATACTACACGGATAAACAAGCGACAGATTAATATCAATTCAAGACAAAAAAAGGTAATCTTCAGCCAACCATAACACGACGAGCTCTCACCGCGATGGTCCGTCTTCATAGACCGACCGCCGTACCCATGATTCCAGCTACACCCAAATTGTACAATATATATATATATATATATATGTAAAATACAGAATAAGACGTAATAACGAAAACTCAAGCATTATTATTTCAGACGATGGTCCGTTGTGACCGTGCAGTCTCAATCTATACATTCTAAATGTTATTAAAATTAATATTATCCGTTCTTTTTTAACATTAATAATTTATATTAGTTCTTATTTAATAAGTATAATATAATTAATTATGCTGGGTTTATTGCGATGTTTTGTTTTACATATAGGACATAGGTAACATAATATTATACTATTTACAATGTACTAATTTTTATATAGTGATGTAATATACACTTTAAAAACGATTTGGAGTTCTCTTTGAAGAAGTAAATATTWGGTACCTATTCAAGATTATCTTTTACAAATAATTAAGACTGACGTCTGACTGTCCAAATTGACAAACGTTTTGTGTATTTTTTTATAATCACCATAAGTCGTTATCTAAATAATTATAATCAGATAGGTAATCTTTGGAAATAATAATTAAATGATTTTGAATATTCTAATATTGTATACTTATATATGTATATATGGTTTTTTTTTTTTTAGTAGATATAAGTACGCTTAGCTGTTGCTAAGAATTGAATTTTCGATAAAGTGTAGATTTGCTAATGGTTTTATAATAATTGGTATTTTATACACTGTAACGTATCACAAGTACCGGATTGTATAAATTTAAATACAATATAAAATAATAATTGGATAGGTATATTTAAATAGTCCTTTTCATATTTTGACAGAAAAAAAGCGAATATAAATTATTTAATACTTGCAGTTTATCTTAATCACTAAAAAATAACGATGATCGATACATAWTAAAGCACAATGMATTTTCTTACTGAGCATATAATCTTTCAAATAAAATAAGATTTTTTATTTAAATTAAACAAACTGTGTRTTAAACAATGGRAGATKTAAGAAAAAAGTAWAACAATTATAGCCATGGTTTTATTTTTACTTATGTTGTTGGACATATGGTTTTAAAACCGAATTTTAGATGGAAAATAAACGACTGAACACTATATTGTATTTTGTTTATTAACTATCACCACCATTACTCAACCCTTTTTTTTATTTATATATATAAATAAAAAGCTAAGAGCTTTTATTTTGTTTTTCACAATACAMTATTTTGAAATAATAATAGTAATGAAAAATTAGAATTTTTACAAGCGGTCAAAAGTCTTGCAGGGGACAGGAAAATGGAGCRATGTGGTCGGTCAAAAGAATAACAATAAAATAAACCCTTGTACGCATACGATTATTTTATCCCATAACGTTATTGTTTTGTATGTTTTCAACTCGATTATGTTCAGATAACGAAAATATAGTATTCCTGGCTAAAATTCAATAAACGAACTTAACCGTTCCAACGTTCTACGTTCTACCACATTATCAATGACAAAAAAACAATACCAATTCATCAAACATAAGTAAATATGAAAACYAAATTATTCGAATAAATATTGTAATATACCTACTAATATGTTGTGTCATGACTTATAAATAACAAATAATTATAATATTTATAACGAATTGGTCAGTCTGTAGTTA